AAAAAAAAAAAAAAAAAAAAAAAAAAAAAAAAAAGAGGTAGGAAGAAGAAGAAGAAGAGAGGGGAGGCAGCCCTCGTGTCGGCCTCACAAATTACCAAAGATACTAACGAGAGGAAATAAAACCGTGGAGTCGCGGACATCACACCCCAGTACTACTCTCCGAGTCCTCTCCTTTTGTCTCAGGGCATACACTACTAGCCACTTTCCAAAATGCATCCGACTGCAATTACGACCAGGGGTGGATAAATTTTACCTCAATAGCGTTCATAAATTAAGTAAAAAACAAAAAGTGCTAGAAAACAAAAACAAAAAAAAAAAGTTGAGAAAACAAAAGTGTGCCCTCTATCGCATTTCTTTCCGATGGCTCATTTGCTGAAATGATGAAAGTTCCGTGAAACATCTAACGCAACAAGAAAAACAGCCGCCGATCATCAATGTGCTTAAAATTTTAAAAAGCACGACTGCTATCGCATGTCCGCCCACTCCACCTCACTTCCCTCCCTCCCACCCCCGCTTCCTCCTCCCCCCCTCGTCAATCCTTCCTTCTGCTCCCCCCTCGCCACTCCTCTCTTGAACGATCGCCTTGGTGACCTTGCAGCTGCTCCATCATGCACAAAAAAAGTGAAGGGTGTTTTGTTTTCTTGGGGCTTCAGACGGTCTTAAGGGGATCAAGAGGGTCTTCTCTCCATCTCTCCCACCTGCTGTTCATTCCTCCAGCGATACTCTCTACACTCCCATCCCTCCTCGCCCCCGCCCCCCACCTCCGATCCAACTTCACCTTATTGTCAGCATCAGCCCCCCATCAAGTTCAAAAGGGTGGGCAAGATTGCATACTAACCAATCAAAACGATTTGATTTTTTATTTTTTATTTTTTTTTTAAATTTTGGACCATTTCTCAATTTTCTTATGTCGTCCTTGAGCATGGCCCATGCTAATCTTCTCTATATCGTTCCAAATTTCACGGATGTCCCAAAGCACAAACAGATTTGCATTTACCTAGGCTACCAGTCGGGCCGCCCGGGTCGCCTTGTTTTCCCCGGCTGGGCAGCCAACGCCAGCGAAGGTCCCAGCAAAAGAAAAAAAAAGAAAAGAAAAGAAAAAGAAAAAAAAACAATTAAAAAAATCCGAAAAAAAAACTGTGTTATCATCGTTATGCACAAAACTGAACAATGTTTGCCTCGAGGTCACATCGAAATTCTTTACCAAATTTAAAAATAAAACAAAAATATATCTCTTTTTTTTTTCTTTTTTTTTTTTGGCCTGGCCGGGCAAATGGTCCCAGGTCACTCTGGTAGTAGCTGGTCTCTTTGCTGTTTATTCCGTGATGATGAAGGTTGACTTCATACTTTGATTCGCGAAGTAACCGCCGTAGGAATTAAACTACGTTCTGAGTGGCTTCGTAGTGCTTATCGATTGGTTGTAGTTGTCGGCTCATCATTCTCTGGTAGTCGGGTCCTCGCCGCCCTGCTTTATTGTAATATCTTTTCAAGTCGCGTTCGGGAGAAATCCTTGTATTTTGCTGTCTACCTCCTCCTTCTTCTTCTTCTTCTTCTTCTTCTTCTTCTTTCCTCTTTTCTTCCTTCTTCTTCTCGACCTTTCTCTTCCTTTTCCTCTACATCTACCTGATCTGTTTTGGCGTGGACTTGTGTCGAATTAACCGTCTTGTGCTCGTAGTAGCTGGTCTCTTTGCTGTTTATTCCGTGATGATGAATGTTGACTTCATACACTCTGGTAGCCTAGGCATTTACTGATTTTTTTATTCGCAGAAAAGTTTCAAAGATGAAAGCTGGATGAATGTTGCATGATTTGCATCCACCTTCGGAGTAGTGGTAGGTAGGTAGTGAAATGTGAAAATGAGAGACAAATATTAACGAGTTCACAAAAAAAAAAAAAAAAAAAAAAAGGGCTGGAAAGTACATATGGAGTGCAGCCAGACGTAACATTGGCCAGTGATGCCGTCCCACTGGGGGAGCACAAGAACATAGTTAAGGGACGATGGGCCCGGTTCCTGGCTTGTAAAA